TCCAGTGAAATATATTTATGTTTGTGGTTGTAATGTGACAAAATATGGAAAAGTTCAAGGGGTATGAATACTTTTGCAAACCACTGTATGTTTGTAAATAAACATTCAAGACTAAGTACTGAGTACTGGACCGGTTTCCTGTGCCTGATTCGAGAGGCCTGTTAACATCTTTGTCAACCAAATTTTATCTCAATATCTGTAAAACTGTTATAGCCATTTTTATGTTTGTTTTTGTAGGCAGACATCTTAAATTAGACTGATTCAGAGTAACTTGGTTGTAATGTATATATTTTTTGCAAGTTTCATCAGGATTTGTTTTGTTGGATATTTTGCATAAAGTAGGCCTTTGTTGATTTTCTCAACAATGCCAAGACTCTAGCTCATACACCCTCAAATTTAGACACATATTCTTTGCCAAATCTTCATATTATAGTTGATTTTTATTCTCCCAGTAACGACCACGGCTCTTCTGTCACAAGCGCATCTTTTTATTTCTTTACAGATTTTCACTTTCTTTAAACATCAGTCACTGTCAAACTGTTCACATAAATAAGGTACAAATGTTAACAATTACATTTTACTTTATCTTACAATTTTCTCGAAAAAGCAGCCTTGTGGGGACAGAAATGCATCGCAAATTACGGGTGGTGGGGGGGTTGGGTTTAGGACCAAAGTGTGAATTGAGTTTAGGTTAGTTTTAGGGTCAGGTAGACCTTTGAGATTAATTTTAGGGTAAAGGGTCAGGGTTAGGATATAAAATTTCCAAAAAATGAATGGAAGTCAATACATGGTCCCCACTGAGCTATACAAACCAGACCTGTGTGCGTGTGCGTGATTACAACATGCACGATAAAGCTTTTTCAGATTTAATCTTTGAAACAGAAAAAACTCAATGTAAAAACATGTTTATAGACACGCTGCTGTGAGTGAATGAACAGAAAAAGCTAAACCAAAGGTTCCCAAACTCCTTCAACAGCAGAAACTTGGGAGTCTGATTGAAGTAAACCATCACTGGTTTAAAAAATCAAGAATTTAATAAAAAATAACAATTTCTACATTTTTTCTTAGTTGACTACAGACATCCTTTTTGCTTTTAAAGATAAAAATTTAGATTATTTCTGTCTTTAACTTTACCAAACATTGTCCTGATGCATCTCAGTAATCCAGGTAAAAAATCAAAAAGAAAACTAGAACTGCAAAGCAGTTATGACCGGGGTCCAAGCCCTTTTATGCATGTCAGCCTTTGTCATGTTGTTTGTAGCATATTGTTGATCTTTTAGCTTCTTGGACAAATTTCTCTCCAACAAACGCNTTCTTCTCTTTTTTTTCCCATTTCTGGTGTATCAGGCTCAGGTATGTAGCACATGATGTCAACGTTGTAGCTACACAGGAATGACTGCATGTAATTTGGGCTCTCAGGTTGTTCTGAGAAGTGCTGAGCTTGTTGTCTGTCCTCCCGCAGGTCTGCTCTAAAAGGACACGAAGACACAGCTATAAAAGCCGTCAAAGTTGATTCTGGTTCCTCTGCTGTTTTAATTCTTCTTGATCTCACTGCTGCCTTTGACACGATGGATCGTGGAGTTTTATTATCATGTTTGGAACAGTTTGTTGGTGTGAAAGGCACAGTTCCTAAACAGTTTGAGTCCTATTTGTCGGACAGGAAGTTTTCTATTCAAATTGGGGAGTTTCTGTCATCAGAGGCCCCTCTCGGATGCGGGGTTCCTCAAGGCTCAATAATGGGCCCCATTTTGTTTTCTGTTTATTTACTTCCTCTGGGGTCCATTTTCAGGAAATATGATGTATCTTTTCATTTTTATGCAGATGATATTCAGATCTATTTGCCTTTGAGATCTGATGGAGTTCAGAGGACTGAGAACCCGCAGAACTGTCTAAGGGATGTTAAATCCTGGATGGAGCTAAATTTTCTTCGTTTAAATGAAGATAAAACAGAGGTTCTGACATTTGGAAAATCAGACCTACTGGCAGGACTAAACAGCGCTGTCTGCCCTTTGGACTCAGACCGTGTTTTTATTAAGAATCTTGGACAACAATTTTAAATTTGACAGACAGGTTAGTGCAGTGGTCAGATCCAGTTTTTATCATTTAAGGCTTATTTCCAAAATTAAGCCTTACCTTCCCTACGACGCTCTTGTGAGGGTTATTCATGCTTTTATCTTTTCTAGACTGGACTACTGCAATTCACTTTATAGTGGAATTGACCAGTCTCTTCTCCACCGTCTACAACTAGTCCAAAATTCAGCAGCGCGTTTGTTAACGGGGACAAGACGGTGTGAGCATATTACCCCTGTTCTACGCTCTCTTCCCTGGCTGCCTGTTCCTTTTAGGATTAATTTTAAAGTTTTACTTTTGGTTTTTAAATGTCTAAATGGTTTGGCACCATCTTATCTCTCTGACGTTATACATTTCTACCATCCCGGTAGAGCGCTGAGATCAGAAGATCAGATGCTCTTGGTTGTTCCCAGGACTCGGCTGGTGACTAAAGGGGACAGAGCCTTCTCAGCCGTAGCTCCTAAACTCTGGAACAAGCTTCCTCCCTCTGTGAGGTCTGCCAGATCACTTGATGATTTTAAATGTCTTTTAAAGACTTATCTTTTTGCTTTGGCTTTTAGTTCTGGAGAGCACATGCAGTAGGTCAGTTTTTTTTTTACATGTTGTATTCTTTTCTATTTACTTAGTGTTCACTTGATTTTATCTGATTGTATTTTCTGCTGTGCAGCACTTTGATTGCCATTGGCTGTAAAAGTGCTATACAAATAAAGTTTTGATTGATTTGATTGAAAGTCCACAGCAGCATGAGGTGAGGAAGAAGTCGGCGTCAGGCCTGACGTGCGACTCTTTCTCTTCACACTTTGCAGGAGGAGGTTGGCGGCGGTGGGTCGTGTCGAGTGGATGCTCTGAGTAAAGCTGACGTGCTGTTCTGTCCTGTCAGGCTGATGCATGTAACCAGTGAGGAGTCTACAGTCCTCAGGAGCCACAGCACACCCCCTCTCCACCTCCACCACCTCTCTGTGTGTAAAGGGGCATGCCTTCTGAAACAAGCTTCAGGTAGGTGGTTGTCAGACCTCACACACTCCTTCACGCTGCTTTTCTTTTTTGTAAACATCAAAGAGATCCAAACAGACTGAAATCATTTTTTCTCCTTGTTGTTTGTCTTSTTTAGATACAGTTGAGTTTTATACAGAACATCAGGGAGTGAGTAGCTGCGTTTCCATTGCAAATGTGCGCAAAACTTTGTCGATATTCTGTTAATGTCGAAAAAACACAGTTTCGCAACTGCGGTGTTTCCATTAAAGGGATCCATGATTAGTTGTAACATTAAACTTTATTTGATAAACATATATTTTAACTGTAAAATAAAGACTGTAGAATGTTTATGTCATGGTTTGTCAGTTTTCACCTTGGTTTTCCTAGTGTTTCTATGTTTCCCCAGTGTGTCTCAGCCCAGCTGCTCCCCATTAGTCTGATTGTCACCCTCGTGTTTCTCACCAGGTGTTTTCAATTCACCCATTAGTTGTCAGTGTATTTAAGTCCTGTCTTGTCTCAGTCTTGTGTTGGGTTGAAATGGGTGAGATGCCACTAGAGCTCAGAAGAAAACAACTAACCATAAACTATTGGGCAAATGTTAAAGGACATAAAGTAAATTATCCTCCAAATGC